GTGATGCTGAACTATGAGTTTCTAATGGTGTTTGTATTTGCACTGTTCTAAACATTAATATTTTATGTGCAACAACAGCATGCTGTCTCAGTGGCCTTACACATGATTTTAAATCTATTTTTTTCAAACTTTATGATTTAAATGGGGATTATTGTACTGAGAATAACTTTCATCTTTTCTTCAACTGAATACTGTTTCCGTGCGGTTTTGATGTATTTTAAAGAGTTGGCAGTCAAAATTAAAACTGCTGGATGATAGATATTCTTCATTCTTCATGACAAACAAGATAATGTGAATTACAGAATGTACAACGTTTTTAAAAGGTATCAGTTGCGGTGTACAGTGTTTATTATGAGGGGGTAGAATCCACAGCTCAGTACTCACTACTCAATACTCATGAGTACTTTTAAATAGGCTACTCTTTTACTCTTACTCGAGTAGTTTTTTGGACAGGTACTTTTACTCTACTCGCACTACATTTTTTGGAAGGTAATGGTACTTTTACATGAGTATATTTTTTCAGTACTCTTTCCATCACTGGTAATATATAGTTGGACGTATAATCAAGCATTTAAAGATAACATAAAATGGCATTCACTATGCATTTAATTTCTATAATGTTATGCATTTCGAAGCAAAACCATATATTCAACTTGAAGTCATGTTAAGACTTGATTTTATCCATTGAGATTTTATTGAATCGTGAAAGTAGGTCTGGGTTGAAGATAAGTTGTTTCAGTTAGTTATTTAAATTAACTAAAGTTAAATTTAAGTGATTTAAATTAAATGCAAGATTATTAAATAATTTTTCTTCTGAATAATCATCCAGGGACATGTGTTAGGAAAATACATACAGTCAATTTTGTTTGTTGAAGTTAAATTTTGAAGGCTAATGTGTCATTTCTGTGTTTTCGGCAAGTAGGCGGTGTGATCAACAACTGTGAAAGCACAAGGGAGATCCCGAACTGCACGAGTGTCTGAAAACTTCAGGAACGAAGCTGGAGGCATATTGTAATAATGTGTACAGAGGTATCACAGTTTTAAAGGTTGACAGTTTTCCTTTTTGCTTTTTTTTGTAATTTCAAAACACTGACATTGTTAATAGTTTTCTAAGGAGCTCAGATTTGCATGGGTGTCTTGTTTGTTATGATCTGTGTGGAATATAAGAATAGACTTAACTACTGTACAAGTTACTGAAAACATGTTTGGTTGAGAAATTAGGAATATTTGCCAGCATTTGAAATTCCAAAAGTTTTGTTCTGAATATTACAGAGCAATGAGCATAATGGAACATTGGGAGGAAAGCCACTACACCTCTCTCGGGTTTTCCCCAGTGCATTTACTTTGAACATTATTGAATTTGTTAGCCTGAGTCAGATGGCTTTTTCAGATTGGAAAAAAGTGGCTTTTAGTATCAAACAATTGTGATTTTTGTTGGCTCAGAACTTATTTATGCCAAGTTTGTTTAACTGTTCAAACTGATTTTTCACACATTGTGAAGAGTGCATTTAGAGTCTATATTAACTTAATTTTTAGGTTTTTAATCTCTTCAGTAGGTCATGTCATTTTTATATTCGTTATAACTTGAACTGAGGGAACAAAATTGCAGCTGAAGCATGCAAACAAGTCAACAGTGTTTATATCCCTCTCTATATTACAGCTTTGCCTTCATGTGAGCAATTCTACTCTGCAATCTTCTAAATTGGTGGTTGTTAAAAACATTTCTACTTTTAATTACACATTTCTCTTGCTTATCTAGCCTTCATCTAAAGGCGAAGAGATGTGGAATAAAATGTGAATTTTTCAGAAGTGAGATACCTTTCCAAAACCACTGTGATAAAACGTCAATTTGAAGGCAAGCTTTTTGTACCTCTATAAAGCAGGAATATAACTATTAAGAATCATGTCTCTATAGCAAAGCTTTTTTTGGAGCTCAAACTTAGTTAAAAGTCCATGAAATATCAAATGTTGAGAATGTTTTGTGGAATAAATCTCTTGATATACAACCATAGACACAATGTAACAATGGAAAATGTTACAAAACTCAACTTTAATCTAACATACCTTCAGCTAAATGTAATTTCTTGTAAGCTCCTCATATATATATACCGTCCTTGTGCATTCCATGAGGTTATTTAACATTTAGCTTGTTCTTTTTAATTTGTTTGTAGATAAATGGCTTACAGAATCATTTTGCTTCATAAGTGAATGCCTTACAAATAAGAATGCCTTTTGAATAATGTGTATTCATCGTAATAGCTGGCCATTTACAATTTAAAATGAATTTATAACATTTTAACAACGTTAACACAGCCATTATTTAGTTAACATTTATTTATTTATTTTTCCCCCCAAAGATTTTTAAGGTGTCTCATCTCCCAGGGATTGAAAAAAAACAAAAAACATTGAACTGTACAATATTCTCAGTAGGTCTCAAATTTTAATTTCTTTGTATATACAGCAAGTGTGTTTCATTTCATATCCTTATACTGTAAATATAATAGTGAAGACTGGACTTCACTGGACACAGTCTGATATTCATTTCAGAAAGAGGGTGTTACGAATCCAAACAGTGATTCATTAATGTGCTGTAGATAGGCCAGTTCTGTAAATAGTTTTTTTTTTTAATTATTAAATCATTGCACACACACACACACGCACACACACACACAAAAAAAAAATAGTAAAGACGTATTGCATATGCTTCAATGTTGCCATTTTGGCCTCAGATTTAAAGTTGAACCTATAGGGAGCAGTGTTTCAGTATATGGTTAGACGTTTTGTATTGGAGTTGATTGCCTGTGTCACACGAAATGAATATAATTCATGAATAATAAGCAGGTGGTTTCTTAGATTCCATTGTGAATGTAAATGTATAGCAATATATCAGAATATAAGTGACTTTGGCCAAAATAACTCCCCAAGTAATTAATTCCTGTTCTCAATCAGTGATATATTACAGTACAAACCAAAACATTGTGCTGCTTCATTTTCATGTAAAAAATATGTTTTATGAGTACTATGAGTACTAAGTTCTATTCAAAGTTCTAGATTTTCTGTGTGAGACAACAATCAGATGTAATATTATTACAAAATAAACAAGTAAATTATTATACTAAAAATCTAAATGAACAAGTATTATGTTAGCAAGTGTGAAATCATTTTTTATTTTTATAATTTTAATTAATGGATGCACCATACGTTTCTGCTTTATTTTTGAGCTGTCTTAAACATAACCTTTGTTTTGGAATTATCTACGTAGGCAGCATCTGTGTGTGTCATAAAATAGTGCTCCTCGTGTAAAGACACTCGACTTATAGGTGATTTCAATGGAGTTTGTTGTTAGCATGTTGCTAATCTAAAAGTGTAATACACTAATAAGCTTTAAAAATGCATAGCACACACAATTATTATCATTATTATTAATAATAATAATTAGATTGAAATAAGAATTGAAAGGCTTCTATTTATAATACTGCTCAAATTAATCACACATCAATGTGGGCTGTGAAATTACCACCAAAAGATAATATAAAATCACTATTGTTGAATGAGAAAGCATTGAATAGACATTACAAAAAAATAAAAGGGCTGTGAAATTACCACCAAAAGATAATATAAAATCACTATTGTTGAATGAGAAAGCATTGAATAGACATTACAAAAAAAAATGTAAAAAGTAGCTTTAGAAATAAATATTTTGATGCAACATAAAATTTATTAAACATTTTTTTAATGCTACAATGTGGCCATACCATTGTTTTCAGAAGCTGTGTCATTTAGGTATATTTGCAGTTCAGAGGTGCCATGAATGTATTTACAGTGCAATAAGAATTGCATGAATAATGCTATGAGATTAATGGGTTACAAATGGGTGAGTAGTTTCATTTAGAAACAAAGCAAGTGACAGTCTTTGCGTTGGGAGCTCTATGATGCCTTAAAATGCTGCCTACCTAGGGAGGTTTTGGAACAAATCTCATATTATTCTTTTTTTTTCGTGACGACACATTGATGTCCTAAGACACGAAACGATCGGTTTGTGCGAGAAACCGAATAGTATTTATGTAATATTTTACCTCTAATACACCACTATGTCCAACTGCTTTGAGCGCGCGCACGGCATCCGGTGCGTGTATGCGCTCTGGCGTAGTTTACGCAAGCGCTGGAAGTGATCTCTCGCGCGTATCATTGTCACTCATTGTTTACACAGTGCACAAACATTGTAGGTACGACGGCTAATCAAAATGGTACTTACTTGCACTTATCAGGATTGTTCAAACCGACTTCAAACTAAAAGATTACGTTCTCTTGCGTGAACTCATTCGGGAGTGGTGACTTTCCACATATTCCCAACTACCTCACGCACCGGATGCCGTGCGTGCGCTCAAAGCAGTTGGACATAGTGGTGTATTAGAGGTAAAATATGATATAAATACTGTTCGGTTTCTCGCACAAACCGATCGTTTCGTGTCTTAGGACATCAATGTGTCGTCACGAGCCGCAGGGTTTAATTTGGATTTGTCTGTGCATGTCTTTTTTACTCTCATAGATTTTGTTACCATTGCCATGAATTATAAGACTGATAGACTGCAACGGCTGGAGTTAAAAATCTTCGTTTGTGTTCTACTGAAGAAACAAAGTCACCTACATCTTGGATGCCCTGGGGGTAAGCAGATAAACATCTAATTTTCATTTTTGGGTGAACTATCCCTTTAACATGTACTTTTGTATGTTCTGATTTCTATCCAATATGACCTTGTCTTTCGAACTTAGAACTTCTAGAAGAATCTGACACAAAATTCTGTTTCATCACAGCATTTGAGGTATTTCACAGTAGTGAATTCAAAAATATGAGTTTAAGCCATATGCACTAGGCTATCGTTCAAAAGTTTGGGGTCAGTAAGATTTTTTTTTTTTTTTAAAGAAATTAATAGTTTTATTCAGCCAGGATGCATTAAATCATGATCAAATTTGACAGTAAAGACTTTTACATTGTTACAAAAAAAATTATATTTCAAATCTGTTCTGTTCAAAGCATCCAGGAAAGAAAATGTATCACTGTTTCCACGAAAAATATTAAGCAGTACAACTCTTTTTAACACTGATCATAATAAGAAATGTTGCATCAAATCATCATATTAAAATTATTTCTAAAGGGTCATGTGACGATGAAGACTGGAGTAATGATGCTGAAAATTCAGCTTTGATATCACAGGAATAAATTACATTTTAAAATAACTTTAAAATATAATAATATTTAGTGAGCAATACAAATACAATACAAAAATCCTACTGACTCCAAACTTTTAAACTGTAGAGTATGTGCATATTCTACAGATCTAGGCCAACTTTGCATACCTTTTAGGGTAGTTAACTTTTTTACTGGCTCTAGAGCCGCTGAAAACAGTTTTGCATTTGTAAACGTGAGCATAGTCTCTACAGATGCATACAGGCGTGCTGTTTATGCTTTACACATACGCTTATCCGCCATAAAGGAACTTAAAATGGGCTACAGAGACTTGTTTAATGCATGACGTCTGCGCAGTCTAAAGCCGTGTGACATGAAACAGTGTTTTACCCTTAATCTCGACTTCTCAGAGGCTCTACAGTGTGCTGAAGTCAGCATGCAATTACGCACAGGCCCTGAGCCGAGGGAACGAGGGAAAGCTGGTACTTTACCATCCTGTCGCACATTCTCTCATTAACACTCGCAGGTTAGCTTAGCGTCCCGCTTTATCTCTACTAGTCACAGTTGTTGTCTCACTCTAATAGTGATATTGATTTTGTTTTGTTTTTTACTCCGTGTACTCATATCTTCAGTCCCCCACTCACCTAAATCTAACAATGTGTCCTAGTTAAACCACTTTATTTATTACATTTTACAAGCAGCAAGGTGTTTTGTTGTCCCCTTGGTTTCTGATGCATCCACACTCAAAAAGGCCTACATTTAAAGGGATAGTTCACCCAAAAATCTAAATTCTGTCATTAAATACTCACCCTTCGAGAGTCTCGTGAATGACGGCGGAGACTGACCCGGAAGAGAAGAAATCATTGAATAAAGTTGTTATTTTTGTTTTCTTTGCACACAAA